TTTCGTTTTCCATTTTTTGACACTACAATATTTTATTTATTTTAATCCAGAGGTGTCAAGACAGAACACGAAAATAAGAGGAAACGTTGCTTGAGAAACCCCACTGTATTTTTTTTATAAATTCACAAGCGTTTTATAGCTTTTAGATGAATACTGTTACACCGAGTCATATATATCATTAAAAAGACAAAAAAAGCTCTATTTTATAGTACTACAAACTATACTCTTTTAGATTTAGAAAAAAAATTGGTCGAAAGTTGTTTCGACAGAACTTCCGTCGCTCCTGAAGTACAATGAAACATATCCAGCATTTTTGAAAAATTATAAAATTTGTGGCATCACCCTGTATAAGCAAATCGAAATAATATGAATGCAAATTCAATAATGTCAAAAGTGTGCGGTACACTTTTATTAAACGATAATAGTAATTTACACAACTAGTTCGGAATAACCTGCTTCGGGCATGAAAGGTCGCAGGAATGCGGGAAGCAGGCTTCACGAACGTGTTGTGTACAATATTTTTTTCAATGAATAAACGTTTAAACCGAAAAGATTAACTGTGAGTTATTTATAAACAACTACGTTGAAAGCGCCGCAACCACTTATCAATTTGACGTTTCCGGACTATTTTAAGGTTACCATGGCAACGGAAAGCAGAAAGCACGTGTGCGGGAAATTCGACCTCCCGCATCCTGGTGACTGACGTCATCAAAAAAGGTTATGAGGGCAAAAAATATATTTACAGCACATTATCAACGGGAATAAAGCTATCTGAACAACATGCGTTTTATTAAAAATGTTAATGTTTTTGTTTATACATCGGAAGAATGTCACGTAGACATTTGTTTGATTTGAATGAGTTTATCGCCTAAAAACAGGTGACTAAAATTATTCATAAGCCTCAAGTGAACAAAATATTCTGAATGCTATTATTATAATTCTTACCTTATCATTATTTTATTGTTATAAAGACGAGCGTATTCTCACATTTTCGAGAAAATGGGGTAGCTCGTTCTTAATTTGATCAATAATAAATTGACTGATTCATTAATTTGTTTCTGTTGGGCAAATATACTATTATTATTATTTTCTTTTTTTTGAGTCACCCTGTATAAGCAAATCTAAAAAATATGAATGGAATGGTAAATCACAAGTTCAGACTCATCAGATTTTATACATTTTAGATAGGATTTATTCAGCAAAATTTTGGGGTGACGTCATCAATTTTTTAGGGGGATAAGCAAATACATTCTGATCAAAAGTTTACAATGCTTATGATAATAGCCGACAGAGGGACAGACAGACGGACAGACGGACAGACAGACGGAAACGGGAGACCTATTTCTTCGTACTGTAGGGGTGATGAAAGGTCGAGAAAACGTAAAAGTAAGTAAAGTAAGTAAAGTAAGAGTTGGTCGACGGACTCGATTACGCTCGGGAAGTAAAAAGTTGATGTCACTTCCGGTGAAACTGAAGCTAATACGATAACAATAGTCTACTCATTTAATAGATTATGTTATATATATATTGAACATGTCTGAAGTCAAATTTTTATGTTTTAAGATAATTGAGATATTTGAGTGGAACAGGTACACTGGGACATCCGGTATATAAGAACGTACTTGCTATTATTTACAATTTGTGCAACAATATATTCATAGCAAATTTCTGGATCTGCATATGCCAAAAATATATAGGATTCAATTTTTTAAAACAAAATGTAGATGAAGAGTAACGTAGGTTTATGAAAAAAGATTTCTTTTGTACAGTCTATGGAACTACACAGTTCTAAAAATGGGGAAAAATGTCTTCTTGAGTTCTATACATACTTCGATTAAATCGAGTTTGGTCTGCCACCATTACTGCCGTGCTAAACAAAAACAACGTAACTGCAATTTTGGGCGATTTTGAGTTTGGGGTATTTTTAAATTAAACAAGTTTCAAGGATTGTCCAGGTATATAATTATTAAATTCTAAGCTATTTTTTATTTAATAATTGCATAATTAGTAATTCAACGTATCTGATCATAGCGTTTCTTTATCGCTGTATTGGTAGTCAAATTTAACGTATTTCCGTTGCAATAGATACATTTAACGTATCTAGATTTTAAAATACATATTTCACTTACATCTTACATAGCAAATATAACGTATGTGAAAGATACGTTAATTTTGCTATGTAAATGGGCCGACAAAGCTACAATTCCTAAATGCCGCATCTTTTGAGTTATGATACGTCTTTTTTGTCTAGCAGCCGACCAGTAACACTACCCCATTTTTAATGGCGTAGCACTCTGTTGGACATAATTATTACCGGGAAATGCTCTGATTGATTCCGCGATTTTAAGGAATTTGTTCCTTAAATATGTAGGAACAACCGTTCCCACAAAATCAGGTGTTCTACCTGAGCCCATTCATAATTTTAGTAAATATGTAAATATATACGTCTTATATTTCGTCTACCTGCCCTACGCCTCCACATACTTTCTCTTCCTGTTTTTAGAATCTTATAAACTCTTTCATTATCTACTTCCACCTCTTCGAAACCGAGCCTACTTGTGTACCATTTAAAACACCCTTCCTTCTTCTCCCTGGCACTCTCGAACAGTAAGAAACAAAATAAAATCTGAAAACCGTAACCGTCGTTTTTAAATCACCGACAGTACCCACAAATAAAACTGTGTTGTGTTTGAATAATTTTACTTCATCCCTGATCGTCGTTGTGAGTAGCAAATAACACAGTGTATTCATTGATTTTAATAGTTTACGCACAGGTACGTATTATTATACCCTCGCACTTTTTTATAATGCATGTTAAATAATAATTAGCACAATTATTAAAGGTCTATTTTTTTAACTAAAGTTTTTAAAAGAATATTTTAAAAAACCTGAAGCCAGTTCGGCGAATCGCGGGGTAACTGCTGAAAGAAAAAAAAACATATTAGATAAACTGGCGGCACTCATCTCTCCTCACAAAATAAGTTTTTGGGAAGAACTGAACGTCAACACAGCACAAGACGTGGACCTGGATGTCGAAGACGAAGATTGATCTCCAATTTTTTTTATTATTTTTATTGTTAATTTCTTATACTAATTTGGTTTATATTTCCAAATATTTAATACAACTTTTTCATTATTTTTTTTTATTTACTAAAAATAAAGAAACTGCAGTCTTCCGTTTGTTAAATATTATTTTTAAATGAAAAGGAGAAAATTTTATATTCCAATTTAAAGTTACGTTAAAATTTCTATGTATAAAGCTCATTTTGTACTGATCGAATTACCGTATCAGCATATGGATGCAGACACGTTATTTTTGTCATGGAACTGTCAACATTTTTAAATGGAAAAAAAGACGTAACTGCTGAAAAATATACAATAAACTACACTAAGCGCCAAATAAAGTTAACTATTGATTTCGGGGCGAACTCATCAACTAAAAACATCATTTCCCATCGTGTGCTAACTCAAAGTTAGCGAAAAATGCAAGTTATTTCAATCGGTTCGAGGTAACCCAACTTTCAAACGCCATTATCTCGAAAACGGGGCGAATGCAGATACGTTGTTTTTGTTTAGCACGGCAGCATAAGTGTCAGTACTTTTCATGGATTATTTATAACAAAAAAAATATTTCTAGTTTTTTCATTATACTTTAGGAAATCTAATAGAGGGAATAGTAATAATGTAATAAAAAAAGTGACATTAAAACTTACAATTCTAGAAGACGAAATCGAAGTAAAATGTCACTTCCAATTAACTCAATAATTATTTTTTAAATTTATATGAGAGCAGCTACATTTCTTCTACTTGCTATACATTAATTAAATTAAAACAGCTTTTCGATAAAATAATATTTCCGGTTAACACCCAAACCTTTAAAAAATCTTTACGTACAGAATGTGAGTAATTCATTTTCAATAAGTATGATATAAATAAATAATTTGTGACACCATTAAACTACAAAACTGGAATTTAACTGTAGTCCAAGTATAGAACAACTTAAGGGATACCCGAGTAATAGCTGTGTATTTGAAAATGTTATTTTTAATGAAATGTTTAACAGTGATTATTATTATTATTATTTCAAGTTCAGTGTCTAAAAATATAACAGCTAACAAAAGTGTTACATTATTATAAAGTATTAAATTAGGTATAATATAAGATAAAAGGTATAAGATAAGATAAGTATATATAAGTAGTGCATAGTAACTGCATTTATTACACCAAAAAGAGGGGGAATATAATAAGTCGCAATCTACAAAATATACTCCTTTAAAAAAATGTACTACTCTGAAGGAGCCGACTTAGAACTGTTGTTGGAAAATTACTTCTGCAAGGTGTTGCAGTAGCAAAAGGAGAATGAGTTCTAGCACCCCACCGAAGTAACGACAGAATAAAAAATTAGCTGGATTAGCTTCCGTACCATATTGCATCTGACACCATTATCCCGGGAGTTAAATCCATGAAATAAATTTTAAATTTTGCCTTTGACCTCTATGTCATGTACTTATACATCCTTCAGAATCCCAAAAACAAAATCTGAATTCGTCTCTGAAAATGATTTCTTGACACTCAATGGCCCATTCTAGTCTACTAGCCTTATCTAGTTATAATAATAAACTTTTATTGCCCAGCATGTTACAACTCACTTAGAGGACAACATATAGAATAAAGTGAACACACTAATATACACAAGCAATATAACGAGCGTTCAAATAAAAACGACGTCAAGTTGACTTTGGAAATGTGAACGAATCATTCACTAAGCCCTAAATTGACATTAACAAAGCCAGCGTTATTAATACCAATTAAAATTTTAAAACCAATATACCTACCTAATAAATCAAAAACAAAAACATTCTAGATAAAAGAGTGGAATACATACCTACAAAAATACATTTAGCCTCAAACTTTCACATGTCAGAGGAAGAATGATACGAGCGTAATCCAGATGATCGTATTCGGCGATAAATAGTACTCATCGAGATTCTACGTCCAAAAGCTCTCATAGAGTTCACTCCAACAGCTCGAAATAATTCTTCTGGATCCTGAATACCACTTCGTCTTAGTAGCCGATCTTCCCGGTCCTGTGTTGCTTCAGGACGTCCACTGCCTCTACGGCGAGCTTCCTGCCAATCTCTATAGATCCGTCTTACTGACTTGATCGCAACTAGTTCAGGTTTGTGGATAATGCACCTTCTCAAGTGATTTTTGCAATATTTATTAAACAATTATGTGAAATGACGTCATTATTTTTTTAAATTGCAATATCAATAGGATTTCGAAAATATTTTGTTACGTTAACACAGAATGTAGAATTTTATTATCCAATTATGTTTTTAACACAATTCATGTGAGTACATTATAAACAGGCAGTAAGAAACTACAAATAAATGAGCGTGTTATGTTGTATAATAAAGTGCTATTTATGACTATGAAGTAATTAACTGATGGTGTACAGAAACGAAACCACAACACGAACATTTTTATAATTGTATAATGTTTAATGGTGCCTATTTGTTTTTCTTCGTTCTAATCATGGTACCAATGGTACCGAAACTTATTACTCTGGTTTTTCAAAAAACTTCTTGTTAAGGTGGCGTCGACCTAATTTATCTACCGTTCCCATATAAATTTAAAATTTTGTTTCTGATTGAATAGGATATTTTGGTTACTTTTGTCGTTTCGCACGTGTTTTACAAGAGACAATATTTACTACACCAATGGACATTTACAAGTACAGAACACAAGCACCTGATCATAACATTATTTATATTTAATTGTTTTGACGACGATAAATTTGCTATCAGCATTTTAATAACTTTCGATTAATAGTACCTACTTATCACTTGTATCTGTTGTCAAGTAACGTAATTTTCTTTCTGATCTAATAAATCTACTCCAATAAAACCACACAAAATTTATATAAATCGAGCAATAAAAATGATTGTAAGACACTGCTACCATTTTGTAGATTCTTTTAAACAATATTTTTAATATTATAAATGTTTTTTACACCGAAAGCAAAACCATCTTTAATTTAAAACAGTTTATATTTGATGAGGATAACTCTCATAAATCAAATTTTTATTTTACATGTGCGACGTGAAGATAAAAAACTTGTTAACCTTGATCAACAACAAAAATATCGGGTACTCATGTTTTTATCGACAAAACTGCATTTAATTTTTGCATCGTAATGCAAAAGATTGATAGTAGTCATCATAAATAGATACTGCTTAAACCTGCTGCAATTTAAAGTCTGTGAATTTGCGTTGTGCAAAGCTAGTGTAAAACCGTCAATCGGTAAGAGTGTATAGTAGAAGTATAGAAGTGAAGACTTTTTTATTAAAGACTTCTTACGCGCTGATAATGCATCAGAAGTGTAAATACATATATTAAATAAAACAGAACAGGATTGATAATTTGGTGAAAACTTTTACAACTACGAGTATAAAATTCGTTATTGTGTTAAATAAAAATATTGTTACATGAACATATCATGGTTATTTCTATGCATTAAAGAACTAAAATTGTGTATTCGTGGTTTTAGGTCGATTTTTGGTCAATATGGTTGTGGTATACTTGATAGTGGCAACTTTTCTGATTTTGTATTGGTACTTTACGAGAAACTTTAATCACTGGAAAAACAAAAATGTACCATTCCTAAAGCCTCTACCTTTTTTTGGAAATGTTATTGATGGAATATTTATGCGTCAAGCCTTTGGAGAAATGTTTTCAACGTTATATCAGAAAAGCAAAGAACCTGTTCTTGGATTTTTTATTTTAGATAAACCATGCTTACTTCTACGAGATCCTGAAGTAATTAAGAGGATTTTAATTACAGATTTTCAATACTTTTTTGATAGAAACGTTTTGAATAACAAAAGAGATGATCCTATCGGTACCCACATGTTATTTTTTCTGAAAAATCCGGACTGGAAAGAAATGAGAACTAAAATCACTCCTGTGTTTACATCATCAAAAATGAAAGCGATGTCAAATTTGATAGAAAATTCTTCCAATGAATTAACCAATTATTTAAGTACACAAGTCGAAAGAAAATCTGTTATTGAAATGAAAGAAGTCTGTCTGAAATTTACTGTAAATGTAATCACTTCTACTGCATTTGGTGTCGACTCTAATTCCTTCAAAGATGATTCTCGTTTCTGTGAAGAAGCCAAGAGAATGATTAACTGGGACGATTTTATGACCGCATTTAGAATAAGATGTTACTTTCTAGCGCATTCTGTGGTCAAAATATTTAGGCTAAAATTATTCAATCCTATTTCTATAAAATTTTTGGAAGAGAGTTTTTGGGATATTATGAACTCTCGTACAAATTCGAAAAGTCATAGAAATGATTTAATCGACATTTTGCTTCAGCTGAAACGTGATGAGAAAAATTTCTTAGGTTTGTAATAATATTTTGACCCTGCTTTATGAATAACTGATATTTAAGACGGAGACTTATTAACATCTCAGGCCGTTATATTCTTTGCCGCTGGATTTGAAACAAGTAGTTCAACAATGGGATTTGCACTACACGAACTAGCATGTCAGCCTGAGATACAAACAAAATTACGAAAAGAAATTATCGAAATATCGAAACAACATGGCGGCATAAATTATGATTCTTTAAAGAAAATGGAATACTTGGAGATGTGCGTGAAAGGTTTGTCTTGAAAATATATTTTTGATATCTAGAAAACTATAATGTAACTGCAGAAACTTTGAGAAAATACCCTGTTTTGCCTGCACTGGAAAGAAAAAGTAACAGCCGTTACACCATTCCTGAAACTGGTACTGTTATTGAAAAAGATACTCCTGTGTTTATTTCGGTTATGGGATTACAAAATGATCCCAAATATTTTCCAAATCCAGAAGTATTTGATCCGGAACGCTTTTCTTCCAACAATAAGCACTTGGTGGAAAACTGTAGTTATTTACCTTTTGGAGAGGGTCCTCGGAATTGTATTGGTAATATTTTTGCATTAACAACTATGTTCTTTACTTTTATATTTTTACTCTAGGTGCAAGGTTTGGAATGATGTCAGTAAAATTTGGACTGGCTAACATAATCAAAAATTTTGTCGTCGAGGCTACTTCAGAAACCAAACAAAAAATCAAACTAAATCCCAATGGCTTGGTACTGTCCCCTCAGAATGGTATTAGCTTAAAAGTGACAAGAGTTTGATTTTAATAATTAAAATAGTTTCACAAGTAGGTTTATTTTTTGCTATCGTGCTCCTGGTTATCTTAACTGATTGTATTATTGTTAAATATAAACAACAACTGTATCTCTCTTTAATGTTTGTTTGTATATTGGTGATAAAAATCATTTTGTTTTGTGTGAAGAAATAGTATTCAAATTTAAGTAAGTGATATCAACTTATAGAAAAAGGTGCGACGCATGTAAAGTTGAGAGCAAATCAGAAAACTGTCTGAGTTGATATCTCTTTTATATGCGGATTAAACTGAGTTCTGATGGTAGTTAAAAGTATTATTGAAACTGTAAAAATTTACATGATTATGCGTGAACCCAAGTTAATTATTAAACTAAAAGCGATTAAAAATGTGTTCACAGATTACATCGTGGATTTAATATAATACATAAAATAAAGCACATATGAAACACAAAGCGCATTTTATACGGTCAAAATCAAAATAATAATTCTAAGATACTTGTTCAAATTCAAGCTGTGAGAAAATAATTAAGCTCGTATAAAAATAACACATTAATACAAGATAAGATAAACATAAAATACATCTCCTAATTCAAGTGCATGATGATATTAATTTAACTGATAAAAATTTTCAAGGTCCTTTCTCTCAAAATGGATTAACGTTTAAGGTTAGTTTAAATCGACCATTTTAAATCTAGAGTACGAATTTATGAAGTGTGGATAATGTAACAACTTAACTAATAGCATACAGACATTTTAGAAATCATTGTTATAAAAAATAATGAGTTGAAGCTGAATTTCCACCACGCGTTTTTATTTTTACATTATTGTAGTTCAATTGTAATATGACCATGAATAATTAAAAATGTTAGCATGAACTATAAATTTACAAATAATAAAACAAACATAACAAGTGTTGGTGGAATAGTCAAGTTTTACATATTTTAGATTAGAAAGACCTTGATAAATTGATATTACACTAATTACACTTGCTGAGGAGGACTGTGACGTCGAATGCAATTCATTTTAAACAATCGCTCTTTTATAAAATCAATATTTTTGAAATGGCTTTTGTAGTTGGTTGGGATATTCTTTAAACAACGTCATGGAATAACGTGATCTTATACCTTCTATATAGGCACTGAGATTTCTTTTCTATTTGCGTGATTTAAATAAAAGTGTACAACTCTTTTTGAAAACTGTTAATTTTTTGTCTTCCCATTCTAAATAGTTTTAATCAGTCAAATCTATTCTCATAGTCAAAATTATACGAGTTTATTTTCACTCTATCCCATTTCTCATTAAAACATACTTAGGCAAAAGCCCTAGGAGATTTTGTTATTTTTGTTTGGCTATTAACCAAACAGCCCTCAGCAAGCGAGCTATAGTGGACGTTGTAACGAAAGCGAGATTTAAGTTCCTCGTTGCAGTCTGTGCCCCTGTCCCGATGATTCTAGTCTATAGACAAGTACAACCCACAGTCCCCATTTCTTCACCCAAAAAACCTGTGCCATATATACTATTTACCTGGTATCCGCAAAACAAATAGATATCTATTACCAAGCTGCGCGTTTAATGTCGACGCGGGTCTTGGTAATATGAAGTCTCAATTTCAACATCTATTTGGGCAGAAATAAGACCACAAACGTGTTCACATTTTTAAACTCACAAACTACAACCAAGAAATGATCGTCAAAAGAGCAAACGGCAAGTGAGCCTTCCCTGCGTTGCCAACCGCCTAAGCAGCTACCTACCTAAAAAGAGATATTTACTAGTTCTCTAGAGAGTTTACCACCCTAACCAATGATCTCTGTACATGATTAGTAATCATTGATTACCTAAGTATGTTTAACGTTTTTCTGAATTTATTTTTCAAATTTAGATTATTCAAATGTGGTTTCACGGCGTTGTTTCTTTTCTCTAAGCACGAAGTTTTGAATTCAAAGTGGGACACCACAACATGGGTAATATGCTAATATGTCATCTATCACAGTGATTTCAACATTTGAACGATCCTTACCACTCCCAGAGATATGGTTAGAAGCACAAAATACTAACAGTAAAGTTATATTAGGAGTATATATTATAAAGTTGGATTTCTAGTTACGCACCCTCAAAGAGGCGGAAAAATTCGTACTGCCAACATAAATTTCGGCATAATTTGAACATAATATCCACATTTACGTTGTTTGTTACCTGTGCGCATTTTGCACTCTTTTCTTCATTTGACGCTGTTTGTATAAAATTATATTATAATTTATAAATCTCTTATAATATGTGATTAAAAGACTCTTCCACTCATGGAAATTAGTTGCTTGACTAAACCAAACTTTCCGCTCATGGATAAAGCGTATTTAAATTCATGATGATTGGCCATATATACATATTTTTATCCCTAGATTTTAGTTATTGTGTTTTAAAGTTTGGGATTTGATTAATTAAATTTAATTAAATAGTTCGGACACTAACCATATTACATATTTGTTAAATATCTACTAATTTAAAAAGAGGGATCAGGGAGGGACGTATCTTTAATTTTTCTAAATTTTTTAGTGTATGACTTATACAGTATACTTTTATTTTACTTAAAAATATTTAAATAAAAAATTGATTTAAAGTCATTTAGACAAGACTTTCCTCTGAAGACAAATATTCAAATAAATTCAATGTGCTAGAAAAAAAATTCAATCATAAATTTTTTGTAAAGTAATTCTGATATAAGTCAAGGCAGACTCATAAACCACAAATAATATAGGGGTATGCTTTTTTATAAAGTGTAAATATGAGTTACTATAAAAAGAAAGTGTTTATGTTATTGATGGAGATGATTAGATACATTTTGGTTAGCACGATATTCTTAACTAAATGATTTATTTTATTGATTAAATCTCACTCTATTTTCTCGAAATTTATTGTTAGTATTGCACTGCATCTAACCAAATTGATATATGTATCATTGGAAAACTGTTGATTACATCATCACACACTTTTGTAATGGAAAAACTCACTTAAACCATATACATCTTTATATGTAGGTATATATTTACTTTATCACTGCATACATATTGTTACGAAATAAACCCATACGCCGTCCCGGTATGATGCCTATGGGTTTTCTAGTATGTGCGACGATGATGGGTGAGTCATGGTCGGTGACGGTTCGTTAAAGAAAAACCTGGAAGCTAAATTCGCGATGGGTACTCTAGAAAAACCTCGACCGCGGCACATCTAGAAAGGGAGTGTGGGTCTAAATAGAGGCAACTTTTCGAAACGAGGATTATTCAGCCAACGAGTCGAGTTTAATGAAGAGAGAATCCAGTTAAGTTGGGCCGGAATTATTTTGTACATAATCGCTGTGCAATTAGTCGTGTAAATTTGAATAACTAAGAAATAAATTATTGAGTTTTATCCACCCCGATTTTTGATCACTGATAATCGTAACAATATCATTAAAATTTAATTCTAAATCTAGTTTATCCTGACACAGTATAGCTGATTTAACGTGTATTAAAGAAGCCGTAGATGAAATAAAATAAAAAAACTCGGAAATATTTAGTGTGAAAGAAATTCTTATCCAGTATTCAGTTATTAATTTTTATATTCTTATATGAAAAGAAATTGATCAATCCGGCACACCGAAATTTAAGCCCTCTTGCACCCGACCGGTAAATTCGACCGGCCAGTTGTTTCGTTGGCCGGTGAAAAAAACCGACGAATTTTATTTTACATCTATACATACATACATAAACGTTATTTTTTCCTCCTGCAAGGAAAATCGAAAGGAAAAAATTGTCTGAACGTACGCAGATATGGAAAAGAGTGCATAAAAAGTAAAATAAAATATTTACAAAAAGACGTCAAAAAAAATTTTGATAAAATAAAATTAAGACTAAATTAATTACCGATGAAAATAGCCTTCATAAAAGATACAAAAATGTTAAAAAAACAAATTAATGCACAATTCTAACCTTTAGGCTTCTTCTTCTGCTACAATTTAGCGAATTCCCTCATCTTCATTTAAGAACCCACTGCAACAAGAATACATTAAATTTTTGTGTACACAAAGAAAAATACCATAGAACAATACACACGTTTAATAAGTAGATAAGATTTAAAAAATACTAATCACAAAAAGTTTTGAAATCACAATTTAAATTCTAAGCAAAATTTTCCATTTACAACACGCGATTTTTGATGGAGGTGACCCGAAAAAAATCCATATAACAGACTCAAATTACACCCAAAAAAAAGAGTTTCGGAGAATATTGGTCTAAAAATTCGCTAACAAACAGATACACGGAAACGGAAAATGGATATTTTCACTCCATAAACTGGAGACTGTTCAGAAAACAAGAAATTAAAGTTTCATAAAAATAACCCTGCTACACTACGCTTGGAAATTAACAACATTCTAAAGTTAGTTTAACCGAAACTTCAATAAACACTTTCCAATAAACTCAAACATTTTTGTTGACCACTGTTTTCAATTAAAACGATTGTCTGAAACATTTTGCTGATCTAGTGAACTTCTGTTAATTGTAGTTAAGTATCTCCCAAATACAAAAATGTTTTTAAAACAATTCTGAAATTTAAAAAGACAATAACGATAATTGCAATCAATAATATTATTAATTGCAGAATAATGAGATGGGATGCAATGTAATTAACATTGATAAAAACCTATTAGATACTCCAAATTATTTCAGCCGAAAAGGCTAGTTTTAAAGAATAAATCTTTGATAAGACATTAACGTTTGAGTTCTTGTTGAAACAAACATATTTATTAAGTCCTTAAGTAATGATTTGTACAATTACAATGCAACTACTTCTCTCATAACATCCATATTTTTGTATCAAGTTAGAGTTAGAATAAAGCACCATACATTGAATAATAGATCGATACATAAAGCCTAACAGCAACACTTACCCTTTAAATCCTGATTTCCTTTCCTTCTGCGCCGTTCTTTGCAGACTCCTTCCTCATGAGCATATCACAGCACTCACCTCTCACTTTAAGCCCGAAATCAAATTATTTTTAACAAAAATAAGCCAGCTAAACAAACTAATTTCCACACCGCACACGCCAACAAAGTCAAAACCGACAGAACTCCGGTGCGTAACGCGAAAAATGAACAAAAAATTCTCGCCCATAAAACATCAGATCATTTTTTGCTGAGTTTTTATTCATCGATGCATCGCACAGTGAATGAATCTTAATTTAAATACTGCAACATTATGCATTCGTGGAATATCCTTTTCACGCTGTGTGGGTGAATAAGAAATTACAGATTTTACATAGAATTCGCCAAAAACAAATTAGAACACTCGATTTAAATACTTTCCTCGTTTCATTTGAAAATATTTTATTTTTCGACAGTTAATGACCACATCACAGAATTAAAATTTTTTCACCATTTCTGCCAAAATACTCATGTAAAATAGATTCATACGGGGTGTTCCGACAGTCAAAGGACGGAAAACTAAACATTCGCTGTAGACTATAGAAAAAGTTCTTCAATGCATTCTAACAGAGGTGTAATTGAAAAGTATTTTCAAACACACTCGTATAGAGTGTCCCGTTTAACTTATACAGAATGTATGTTTACTTTCGGAGCGTTGGCTACTTTCATGTTTTATCGATGTTTCATAATGCCCTTGCAACAAATCTCGCCTCTTTTAAAAATTATGGAATTTGATTTTGCGGTTTTTGTTTTGTGATAACCTCGATAAAGTCAAAACCAATGGCGTAATTAATTTACGCTCAGGAAGTAAAAAGTTTCCCATGAAGAAACAACACTAAAAAAGTGTCTCAAGTACACGCACTTTATAATAATATAGCCTAATAATAATGTCATTAACTGCTGTGTGTAAAATAATTCTCGTGTATTTATCGGACAATAAAAGTGTTTATATGTCAAAATTCTTTTATTAATAAAATTCTAAGGTAATGTGCTCTCGAGGGAACTTTTCCCTTTAAAGTCTTAAAAGCTGACCAAATGTGATCATTAAATCAAAATGAAATAATTTCTTAAGAATGTATAAAATCTAACTGGTTATTCTATGCGTGCTTGACACATTACTACCGCATTCTAGATAATTATTTTTAAATAAATGATAAATGTTTACAAATAATGACAGCTAGCAGTACAATATATCAACATAATTAAAACAACCATGTCAACTGCAACTTTTCGTTTAAATATCAGAAGAAAAATTATTTAGACGTTGCCCCACTCTGTAGATTGCTTTACATGAAGTTTAGTGATAGTCCGACACTCTATTTTCTACATTAAATCTGACGTAGAATGACTGTCGTATAATGAAAATGCAAATCACTTTCCAAATTGCAGATTTCATTTCATTATTCATTAATCGGTAGGTCGTTTTTTATTAAGTTAAGGTCAATATGTTTTGACTATATCTGAATACTGATATCTGTTTTTTATTTATTTGTGATAGTGTTTTAAATTATGCATATATTTCGACACCTATGTTTCGAAACGTGTGTTCAAGTTATCAATAAAAAAATTGTTTTCTGATTAAATGTCACTTTACCCGTAACAAAAAGTCTTTATGTAGAAAACTTAAATTTAAAACCCGACAGTTATTTGCACATAGAATAAATAAATATAATAAATTCCATAAAAGAGTGCAAACGGATATTTGTTTTGTTGACAGGGGATATATTCCTGGGACAACTTGAATCAATTTTTTGTCTAATGACGTCAGAATTATGAGATACGTATGCTAGCATTATTTTGGACATTAAAGTAGAATTTTTCACTTCAATTTGTTGTAGAAAATAACATGAAAGCAGTAAAAAGATACTCGTATAATAAAAATAACATGCACACAAACACATCCTGTAAATTCTTTGTTTTTTGAAATTCTCGATAGAGTGTGGCATAATTCAGTTTTGCTTATTTCATTCTCTGCAGTTATAATAACTACCCATTTTGCTATCGTCAAAATTCGGATGATTTTAACTTTAACGGAAATAAACGTACGGGATCGCGTGGTAGATCCGCACACAACTAGAGTTTTTCTCATTGTCATTGTTCATGTGAATGTGTATTTGCAATACGAGTTTTTGCCGCCGTGAATCAGGCTGTTTAACTTGTTTATTACCATCAAATTACTTTTAACGGCGATTTCTCTGTTGCATTAGTGTGTTTAAATTTGTGCTATTCAAATATTTGTATCGATTTGTACCATTTCATTTTTGAAACTTGGAGAGGTTTTTTCAGCTGGGAAATAAATTTCGTCTAGGTTATTTCAACAGGTTTTCTCGTTCCAGAATGAACAATTTGCCCTCTTCATTTTGCATTTTTATTTAAGGGTATTTTTCAAAATTTGGCATTCACCACTTTGCATTTGAGCACAATCTGACAAAAGAAACTTGAATTGACGATCACAATTCAGCGGCAAATTTTGAATTTTTCGCGGGTTATCACACTGATTTCTACAATATAGTGGTTCGTCTTATTATCTTATTGAAATTGGGCACTATTTGAATATTTTCCTAAAAAAATGAACAAGGAAGAACAGACCTATCGAATGGATACCCGTCAAACACCATGAGACTTCTTTTTGCCTTAAAATAGAAGTAGGATCAAAGCAAATTCCAGGATATTGTTTATGTAACAATTTCAGTACGAGAAGTCCCTTCAGTAACTCCTGGCGTAATGGGCAGTGGACGTTTACGTCAAGACTGTTATTTTAATAAAATGACTGAGAATGAAGACACCATTTTTTACTGTAGACATTTAATCAATCTTTTATTTTACATTGGCATATGGACATAATTCTAATTAAAATATTTTACTGTTATTTTCTAAATATATCACTTATTTATCTAGCAATAGGAAGAATATAGATTTTTCATTAGAAGATAAAAAGGATTTTACAGGCTTCAGTGGTCCTCATATTTTGAAAAGAAAAGTATGGAAAAAAGTGTTAAAACAATATAACCACAGAATCAACAATCTCATGATCACAACATTTGTCGTAATATAGAAAAACAAATTAATTTTAGCACCAGATCGTCGCTACGTCATTCTCATTACAGTACATTTTTTACTAACATGAGGTAAAGGATGCAACTGGTACTAAATTTTGGATACTTTAGCTAAAACAAAGATAACAATAATCGTATCTTGTACGAAAATAGTTCTACAGCTTTCCTAATTCTAATAAATGCACACATAAAAATAATATTGAACTAAATATCATTTTTATTAGACTAGAATCACATAGAAGTTTATAAATATCTTTTATAAACAATATCTTGTAAAAAATTGTTACAAAAACTGTTTTATTATAAAACATAATTAGGTTTTCTTCGTTACTGTAATCAATAAATAATTAACTACGGAAAATTGACTTAATGAGAATAACTTTAATATCCAAGTCATTATCCGGTATTAAACATCGTGCTGCTACTTTTGATAATTTGATTTGTACCATTGTTTGATATTACAGTCATGTAAGAAGACAGCTTTATAGTAAGAGCAAGTACCCATTTACTAGCTGTATTACTTCGCGAACGTCGGATTAAACACCACAGCTATTTCCACAGGTTACCTCTATTGAAAGGATGGATATGTTCGAAAATACGACGCACTATACAGTTATACAGTTACATAATAAATTTTAGACAAAAATAATATTTACAACAAAAAATAAATATAAATAAATAAACGAAAACGAATACGTCTTCTACACATTGTTTCTGACATTTGGTTTATATTTACAACAGCGACAGAATATGTACCTAGCGAAGCTCTCCCTCTCTGGAGGATTGATCTCGTGTCAAATCAGGCTACTCTCTTTACCCTTGTCGATAATCAGCTGTTCTTCCTTTTTCAATTCGCCGAAATTTTCCGCCAAAGCTTCAACTTTGAACTCTCTCATGCTGACGACTTCCACTTTGTTGAACCGGCTTTTGGGACTAGCGCAATTGCTCTGCAGCTGTGAGGTAGACGGTAAAGATTGATTGTCAGTATCGTTGGTAACCGCCGCCAACTTGTCCACAGCGGCGTCCGACGCCCATCCTTCCAACTTATCTTTCTCTTTACTCAACACCAAAAATTTCCATGCTTTCTTATTTTTGGTTTTGGGTAAAGTGCTCGCCTTACGATCGCCAACTTCCTCTAAACTTCGACAGCACGGAGATTCCAACTTCTTGTTGCTTTTGCTCTTGTGAGGAAACGAAGTACGAGTGCTGTTGTTGTTCTTTGAGTGCTTCACTTTCGAGTCTTTATCTACCGATAGGCCGAATCTATCTGTGAACTGACGAAAACGCGAAAAAATCGATCGACTGTTCTTGGTCTCGCACGGGGGACTTTCACTTTGTTGCACTTTTTTAATTTCGTCTTTATCCGAAGAAATACTGTTTACGTTATCACTGGTATTGTTCACACGCGACATGTTTTGAACGCTGTTCTTCCTGTTGTTGACGCTGATCATCTTTTCCTCGTCGTCCTGCGTCGAAGACTTAACGTTATTCATCTTCAGCTTCTCCGCGTTGCTAAACGATTTATTGTCAGAACACTTTAGAATACTTTTTTTCTCCTCGATACTGGAAGGAATTTTCACTAAATGTTCCGAGTTGCGCTTGTTCAGATTCAAAGTCTCTTTAGAAACAACGCATTCTCCTTCTTTTCGTAATTTCTCGTCTTCTCCGTCAGATCGATCACCGTCGAGTCCTTCGTCAAACCTTTTCTTTAACGTCAAAGCGTATTCATCTAAGAATTCCGGAGTGTCAAAAGATAATTTCTTGTTGCCGATCATACAGTGTTGGTCGAAGCTGAATCCTGCAGATCGCAATTTGCTTTTCTGGATCATTCGAGCGAGATCGGAACTATTGAAATGCTGAACCCTTTCGCGACTACCTTTTCTTGAGCCGGGATAACTCTTTCGTCCTGTGCCGACGCTACTTTCTGTTGATATTTTGAATTTGAGAGCTTTTTCCGAAACTTCTACTTCAGTCGCTGTTTCTGATTCGCCGCTTTCGGGGTCTTCAACTACGTCTTCTAGGCTTTGTTCTTCACCGATGATGTTACCACTGCCGAAACTTGGGTCTGTGTCTTCGTCTGTTGATCGGGATCTGTACAACAAGAAAAACGAGTTCACACTAGTATCAAAACCTTAATCTAATTAGTATAATTCTTACATTGATACTGATCCAAAGTGTATAAAAAAACACAGAAAAAAGAGAAGCGAGAAACTTTGTCAGCCACATGACTTCTTGGTATTCACCTTGTAGTAATTTTTGTTTTAGTTTTTAATGAAATACATATAAGCAGAAGTAGTGGCACTTTGGCTACAAGTAGTGTTCTTAATTGTGAGCTGTATACGCCAAGTAATTATTTTTTTTTACAAAAAGCTCAAATCAAGCTTTTAAGATGTTGAAACTTTTCACTTTTTTCTCATTTTATCTTGTGGGTTTAGTCTTGTTTCAATTTGGTGTCTGACTGCTCGAGAAAAAGATCAATACATATAAATAAACACCAGAAAGCCCCTACTAATTATTTCTTGCTACTTCTTTGTCCCGTAATTAATTTGCATAATAAATTAAATTGTCACCATGAAAATAATTAACTGACTTGCCACAAAACTTTGTGTTCACAGCCACTTACCGAAGGCTGCTACAAATGCTTTGTTTGTTTGTTCGTAGTAAAAACAAATTCACTTCATTTGTAATACACTTTATAATTTCTTCGCTGACTCTAAGTAAATAACTGAATTTATGAAAGTAGAGACATTTGAATTTAATAACCTTTTGTTTGAATCCCCCTGATCTGTTTAATTTGTATCTGTTTATTATTTGGGTCACGCAATTAAATTAATACAATATTATTAGATGAAATTAGCTTATTATTAAAATAACGCAGTTACAATTTTCGTTTATTTGTTGCATGTTTGAAGTGGGACTCTCTAATGTTAACTAAAATATCCTTCTGCGAACACAAACGGGTTCTAGAATTTAGATGCGGACTATAATTATTGTGGGGGTCTTTCTCCGTCAAACTGCCACTAAATATGAAAAATATTAAGAGGAATTTAGGAGTGAGCATCAGGCCATATAGATGATGAATTGGAATTTAATAAGTTATATGTTTTAGTTGGATGGTTTATTCAATTTCCAAGTCGCGGTTGAAAAGAAGAGATAAATATCTAGAAGAAGTCTAAAGAAATTGTGAGTTTTTTAAGATTATCTTGTTAAATTGGATGCGGTTGCCTCTAATAGAAAGAACGGATTCTTTATCGAGGAAAAATGTCGACCACGTGTAGAGCCACGATCTCGATGACAGCTTTACCCCCGCAGAAAATTATGTCCAAGATTCTGTAATCTGTGAAAGTGAAGTTTCACTTCTCGTCGTGTTTAGCTGTTGATAGTCTACGAAAGTTAAAATTCGTTTGAGTACCGATTTAAAGTTGGGCTTCAGATAATCCGTATCGTATCCCCCATTCTTAACGAATTTATAGTCTGGATAATATCCAATTCTGCGTTTCCTAAGCTGGAGTGTGAGAAACGTTGATGATATTGACTTCTGACTCTTTCATTTAGTCTGACCTGATTTTATCGGTTTTTCTTTTAGCGTAGCGTAGAAGCGAGTTGCAGGCGCTTGCTTTGATCCGTAAGGCAAACAGAGAGTAGTGTGTTTAAAGGTTTCAATATTCTGGTAAAACTCGGTATGACATCCACAAAACAAACAGGTCTGTAAGAAGTATTGAATTACCACAAATTAGTAGCAATTTTTGTGAGTTTGAGTTTTTTTTTTGGGTCAGCAACTGGTAAGAAGGTTTATGCCCCTATATCAAGCTCTTTTTCAGTTAAATTTGTATGTGACAACAAAAAAAAAATCTTTTGATTCAACGTAATTCTGTCAAAAACTAGTTTATCTACATCTGAGCAAATAACTAAAATATTAATTGTGTCTAGAGGTCTATACAGAAAGCGTACCTTCACTATCTTAATTATTGACTACCGACTTTATCTAGGCATTCTTAGTCTTTTAGAGTCAGTGAGAACGACCTTGACCTTCAGCACACTTTTGTTTGTTAATATCAAGGTAACATGTTCTTCACCTCCATTTTGTCTTCTATGTTTGACGTCTCGGAGCTCAATTTAAGTTGCATTTTCATACTAAATCATTAGGTGAAAGAATTTAATCAGACTGTAGGGTAGGACAGGAGTTTCAATCTAGAATTAGTGCTAATACTTCCGTTTCCATTAAGAGGGGCAAACCTTCATCTCTTGTGGAGCGATTCAACCTTGTTGTAGGTCGGCATAAGCCCAACTTCAATATTAATGTTTTTGTTGTTCAGAGCGTTGGTCAAAATGGAAGTTTTTTCCACAAAACTATCAGATAACTTGAAGATTTGCAATCAGATAACTGTATTCGTAGTAGACTGGTGATAGATGTTGTCCATGCAGTTGTTGTTGCTATCTTTTTTTTTCTTATTTAATAATATAGAGCGCATTAACCGCATAAGATTATGAAGATAACAAGAGGAGAAAGACTTGAAAAAGGTAAAGAATGAGGTAAGAATGGCGTTAAGTTAAGAAAGTTCCTAGGTCTGTTCTCGCTTTCGTCGATGTTGACCACGACATGGTCAACGGGACTGTGAAGACTGATAGTAAGGCGTTGAGGAGTCTAATTTTGACATTATTACAAGATGTGAACATTAATCCTTTAGCTGAAGACAGTGTATGTGAGTAATCCAGTGTGACTATCCCGGAATCTTAGGATAATGTCTTTGACGTTGGTTTTAACAATTTGTAGCTGCGTTTTCACTGTCGTTGCCGTTAAAGATGTCTTTGATTTTTACTACCAATTTGAGCGTCTTTGCGTTGAATTGTAGGTCTAAGGGAGCAGTTATAGTAGCAGCATAAGCTGCTGAGCAAGCTAATAGGTTTTCTCGTTGCCGGTTATACCATTATGCGATGGGACCCAAATAAAATAAACAGGTTTATGGAGACTGTTTATAGAAGTACCTTGGTTAGAATTTTGTAAGATTAAAGAAATGGGCGGGTAGACCTTTTGCGGTTATGATCATAAAGAATATGTAGAGCACAATATGCGTTGGTGCCCCGTGTAATGTCGAGTCCTAAAAGAGTTATGGGCCTTTACCTAGTATACAATTTATACACGTATCTCGACTACCATTCTGAGATATTTTCTACAGAGTCCTAGAACATTTTCGCAGTCTTTCTCGACAAGTTGGTCCATGAACAATCATGAGTGGCACAGGCGGAATTGGTAGAACCGGTTTCGTACCTACAAAGCCCGTGGTTTGCCAAAGCATTGGCCATTTCATTTCTTTATAGCCCGTGTCCAGATAGTAACCTGACCTGACCTGAACACAACTTTTTTGTTGTGCCCCGCTAAATCCTGTATCGATTGAGTCATTTCCAGACAAGGTTTGATGTATCCGTGCTAGAGTGGCAGACCGTTGTTAAAATAATCCCTATTTTCGCAAATTTCCCTCTCGTCATTCGGCCTACCTCTTTTGTCGTATAGGCCAAAAGCCCGAATTTCGGAATCATCTTCAAATATCGTAGTCATCAAAATCACTTATTACTTTCCACGGCCTCGCATAAACCCATCGTACTTATCCCTTTGTCTAGACTTTCTTCCGAGAATAATCGCCAAAGCCTATTCCATACCCAAATATGGGCAGCACCTTCGTACCCGATCAAACCACTTCAAATCGAGTTCATCTATTTGCCTAAAATTTTATTCGACGAATATCATAAATAGATGTATTGGATCACCAAATATGGACAGGATCTACTGTTCACCCCTAGGGTCAATCAAATCACTTCCCTTGCAATTAATATACGATGTTGAACGGATTAACAGAAGACTCGGGGTTCAAAAGCGACACTTTTGCTCTAGAACAACTAGTGTGACCATTTCTTCAATATTGTGGATGACCTGCCTGAGACAAAATTGTGGGAAATTATTTTTATGCACTCTTCACTCCATTTCCGGCGACAATATTTTGGGAAATGGATTTTTATGTATTCTTCATGCTATTCCTACGAGCCAAAACCCCATAAATAGGAAACGAAATTAAACCTTATTAGTTAGTTTAATCAGTCAATTCAGTCATTCAATGAGGAATTTAAAACTAGCTTTGTTGTGATGCATCTAGTGCATTTCCAAAACATTTTCTTGTCGAGATAGAAGAGCCGCAGCATCAAGCTTCACTTCGTTACCTCGGGAGCCAAAATAGTCGCATTATGGTCTAAATTATCATTGGTCTGAGTAAATTTCGCTTGGATGGAGTATTCTGCGCTCATACGACTAGTTCATCAATGGGTCAACGACCAGAGCAGCGCAATCTCAAAAATTTCAACCTAATCGTCTTCATCACCAACAGGGTAAGAGAAAACCACCCGACCAGTACTTCCATGGTAGCCGTTGGTATGCATTGCGCCTGTTGTCATCAGGCAGGTTAAACGTTTTGTTCGGACAAAAAGGGTTTTAGCCCAGAATTGCATCGTTTAGCCCCACCAGATAATGGCGCCATAGAGCATCATCGGTCTTATTACCCACAGCTAATGCGTGTAAATCTCAATATTTTGCTATGGCTCTTTTGCTTGCTCAAAGTATTGCCGTAGTCTTTTTCGTCTGATTTGTTACGTGATTTCTTTAGGAAAGCTTATAGTTCAAGCAAATACATAGATATATGAAACCGAAGAGCATCAATGTGTTTATTTTTTGTGCGACAAATCTATGTCAACGTTTACTAACAATAAGATTGCACCACCAACCACGAACAGCTGAATAATGTGGTCTGAGTTGATATGGTAAATGAAAGAAACCGGTGAAACGTTAAAGGAAAACATATTCATGGAATGTGAATAATGAAGGTGAAAAAAGGAAGTTCAATTGCATAGCGTACTTCGGGTACCATATGCCTATAGTATTTTATGAACGTACGTATTTCCACCTCTAGTAAGCCATTTGGATATCCTAGTAACACAAATTATTTTCAAAAGGACTTCAAAATTTGATACCTGGTACTTCTGTCGCAACTGGTACCATGACCGGGGCGGTAAAAGGTACGTGGTAGCCAGGCGGTCGCACGGGCGTGCAAAAGGAACTTTTATCTTTTCCACCATGAGCAGCCTTTGCCGGCTCGGGGAAAGTGGCAAGTTGATTACCTAGCCCAGGCCCGACGGTATGCGGGCCACAAAGACCCCATTGACAGCTCCAGGGCTAGATAGCACGGGATCCCACTACTAGTCGCCGGCCTGGCTCCTTTGGCACTAGGAAACTGGAGCTGGTAAGCGGTACTAGTTAGTAAGGGGAAAGTGAGAGGGGCAGTATGATCCTCCGAAACAAAGAAGCGAACACACAACCTCTCTTGCTCAATGTCAGCTTCCACCTTCCCGTAGTACAGGTTGTTTAAAACTAACGGAAGCTCTGGAGGGGGCCCACCCAGGCCTTCAGTCTCGCTTAACTGAGTTGAGAATATGGTACCGGGTATTTTGTCACTTGGTGCCGGCGGGTGACAGGCTTTGAGGCGGCAGAGGAGCTGAGGACGCCAGCGGCAAGCGCGGGCGGGGGGGGGGATGTTCGAATTTAGTCGCGCTTCCACGACTGGTTACCAGGCCCACGACGAATCTTAGTCAGGCTTTTCGAACTGGATGGGCACCAAGCCCGGAAGGTTTTGAGTAGCCCTATCCGTATGGGAGGCGAGAGGGGCGTTAGTAGTCTTCAGGGAGAGCTGGGAGTGCCGGTTCGAACTGAAGATGAACGCTTATATAATCGGTCAACTAAGCCACCTGTTACGGCAGGTCACGGAAGTGAAGCTTACTAAGTTTCGAAGGCAGCACTGGCCAGGTTTACCAGTACCCGTCGAACTCAGCAGCCCTTTGCAGAGCATTGCACATTCCCCTCAACGGGGCATGCTTCAACCGGAACTGGTACGTGAAAACGTGAAAAAGTCCGACCCGTGACGGAACGCTTGCGTTCTGGTAAGGCTCTACTTTCGAGTAAAGGAGCTATGCGGGTAGTAAGTTGTCTAGAGCGAGTCAACTCAGCAGTTGGGGAGTGTGGCGGCAAGTCAGCCAACCCCGTATCTGAAGGTACGGACTGGGTAGCTAGCAATGGGCGTCTGGTAGCCCGAACGATTCATAGCAAGCAAGGTAACGGGGCAATGGCGAGGGTACACCAGTACCTATCTGATCGAGGTGCCCTCCCAAACCAACCAAGCCTGATACCTCGGGGCAGGCGCCAAGCTTCACTGGGGAATGTCAAACCTCGGTGTCGACCCGCATTTGGTGTAGGACTCGAGGGGATAGTGAAAAGCTTCTTGATAGTGGTTTGGCCCCTTGGCCGCGCCTTAAAGCCCAACGACGGGAAAGGCGGGAGCGACACGATCCTTCCCAGTAGCACCACCACTACTAGTCGCCGGAACGATGGTGCATTAAAGGTCCGGTCCTTCAAACTGAATCGGCTTAGGGTTTGAAGATTTTGATTTAGCTTTGCTGATATGGGGGGGGGGCAGTTAAACTCTTCAAGAGTGCATTTACTGCATGTATCTAGAGCGCAACTTTATGCAGCGGTAAATGTGAATATAAAGCCTCTAAAGTCATAGAGGCCTGCGGACTAAGGACTCGAAGCGATGCTTTGGCCCGGGTATACCAGTACCTGTCAAACTCAAGAGCGTGATATATTGCATTGTATGGCTCACTCTGCACAAAAGACGCACATAGAAATGTAAACACGTCTAACTAGATGCGCAGAGCAGTTGTGTTCTGATGAGGCTCTAGGGCCGGTGAAGATGTTCGGGTAGTATGATGTCTGGAGCGATTTAACTTAACCGAGTTACTAGATCTTTTCACATGCTTCAAAAAACTTGCAGATCGAATTTATTTCGCATCTAACTAGCTAGCCAGCCTCACATCCTATGATTCAAACTGAGTATCGGGCGAAAATGTAAGCCTGGGACTTGGTGGGCCCGGAGATCTGCTAGGAATTAAAGTTACTAGTAAGAAGGGGGCAGCCTCTTAGTCGGAGATGCCTAGATAAGTCGCAAGATAAACAGGCTTTGACGAAGTAGGTTTACCAGCACCCTTCAAAGCCGAAAAGGCTCCCACAGGAGTCACCGTGTTTGTTTAAATAGACATGTGTATGCAGTAGGCTGATGACTTGACAGAAGAAAAGGGGTTGATACTAATTTCAGGGTAAGAGAGGTAGTTAGCCGAACGGCTAGTACGAGTATATGTTGACCGCTGACTTGATTCAAGAGTACAAAACATTATACTTCTACTATGAATTGTAAAAAAATTTCACATAAACAAGAAAGTTTCTTCTCCAATCTTCTCAATACACGATGATTATTATTTAACTAACCGAGTCGTAAATGAATCAAACGTAAAGGCGGTAGTGACGCAGTTTGAAAATTTCGACGCCACATTAATTATTTAAAATAATTAGATCTACCGGGTGTCTGGAAAATGGCGGATTAACTCTCCGCTACGCTCTTAACAAAAAACTGGTGAGTCTGGGAAAAATAGTAAAAAAAATTCTTCTCACATTTTGGGTGAGTTATAATGATTTTAAAATTGCTTCTTTTGCTACGTTTAACAACTAAACCGCTCATTCATTATCGGAATAACTAGCAGTAAAACTTTTAGTTAATATTTTTCTCGCCCTTGACCATGTTTAATTACCATTTCAGTTAGAATGCACAAAGATATGGCTGTGTTGTTTTTGTAATAATTTGATAAATTTCCATTTGACAACAATGTTTGCCTGATATAAAGCGAAGGTGGATTTCAGTCACCATCGTTACTAAGAAACCAGAAAGTAAGCTGGACGTATTTACGCGTTAGGTGTGTACAGTGTTGCCAATTTTACTTTTATAAAAACACGTTTTTTTTCGTTATCTGCACTATAAAGAATTTTTTTATTATTTTTTTGGGACTCCCGAAACCCCCGTATATAACGTACCGAAGAGTTAATCCGCCATTTTCCAGACAGCCGGTATAGTGTCAGCGAAGTTCTTGAAAATGAAAAAAAATGTCAATATTCGTAAGCATTACCTCAAGTTCATATATGAATTTCTTTTCTTGCAATCAGATACAAACTGGGAATTTTAAACATTGGAATAATAATCTCTGCTAAATTTTTTACGGATACCCAAAGGAGAATAAAAAAGTTTTTGTTATGTGCGATTATTAAATTTTATTGTTTTCAACACAACGGAAATACTTTTGGCCTTTCAAAATTGAAATATTTTCCAAGCATTGTGCAACCAAAACCCTCTTTATTATTTCAATCCATTATTTGTCAATATTATCTATAACCAGTCATTAAATTCACACACAATATAACTTTGGTCGAAAAACTTTCTTTCTGTTTTCATTACTCTAATTAAATTTATAGCGACTTCCAAGACTAGGGAATCGGTATCATATCCTACTAATAACCAAGCTAATTACCTAGACAATAAATCGCGAATGTAACGTAAGAACAACGCGGTGTGAAACATTCCACGCGAAAATTTCTTTACCTCGATCTATTCTGCTGGAAGCTGAGACTCTTTTTTAGCTTAACACTGGCATTCGAAAGCGATTTGGGAACAGTAGCAGTGCTGTCGGGGCTTTGCGTAGACGGCGTGTGCTGCTCCGTCAGTTCGGATACTATACTCTTTCTGTGAAGTCTCTCCTCTCTCGTGGCTTCATTTAATCTCCTATAATATTCTAACGCTTCCCTAACCGGCTGAACAATGAGATCCTGAAACAATCCAACTTTAAAATTAAACTAAAAATGAAACTGCTGTAAAGCTAACTTGTAACTCTGTAAGTAATTCTCCCAACGCTTCGAACAAAGGGAGAAGGACGAAGCCGATAAATGAACACTGAGACGAGGGTTTCGTTATTTTCTCTCTGTCCATGAATGGGGTGACAGGTAAACCTTCCAGTTTCTCGGCATCGCTTTGTTTGAAGAATTCTTGGAGAAGCTTATCGAGCCATGGTTCCGCTACGTCCATCGGTCGAGCTTCGTTTGATATATCGGACACTTTTATCAAAACCATACAAAGCTAAAAAGCAACCTTGAAAGTTTCTACTGTTTACATATAGGATGCTGATCCCAAATAATTTATTACTGGACACGTTTTAAGGTTTTATTTATCGAAAAAAAATTGTACCTCTTCAATATACGTCTAGTCACCTAGCCTACGTAAAAACTAAAAGTTAGTACATAAAAGATATTCCTGTTGAAGTGATGAACTAAATACAAACTGTTTCATTTTATACAAGGTAGTAATTGTACATAAGAAATTATACAGGGGATTTTTGTAGTACTTAGTCTCTGTTAAAATGTTGCAGTTCTAATAAGTTTTGAAAATTGCTAAACTAAATCATGGTATTTATCATAAACTTGAAAGTATCGTACTTATGTTTAAACTAGTTAGATTTAAATTCGTGCATGTAGGTACAGTTAATGGACGTAAACGATACTAACACACCCTGGTCTGAAAAAAGATACAGGTCCAGAGTTCTTGACTTTAAAAACAGGGACATATCACAATGACATACAATGTTATAGGTATCGGTACCAATCGTAGAGTTCAGCTTTAAAAATTACCAAATAAATCATGGAATAAAAGTATGCGGAAAGAACGGTTAGAGAACGAAACAGAACAAAGCCATTCCGTTGAGGCTGAGTGAATTCAAACCCGCAAAATCCACCTTAAATATTTGATGTGTTGTAGATTAAACATTGAAAAAAAGTGGTCGTAAAGTATACCTGCAGTATTGTCAATATAATAATCGCCACATTGAGAAAAACGATTGGTAACAAAATCTGTATTTTTGGAAAAAAATACATTTTAACCTACAAACTGCTGTGAAATTTTGCAAACACTTTAAAGTTATGTGTTTATCCTCTCCGAACACTTGATGGCGTCATCTTAAAATTTTGCAGGTTAAAAACTTAAGACTTTTATGGTTTCTGGGAAAACTATTCATTTGTTGTTAAACACATTTGTATTGTATTCACTGTAAAATATAAAATACCTCTAAATTGTTAATCATTCAATGTATATAGCAAACAATTAAATGAGTTGAATCCTGGGAATATTAAATGCTTATTGAGAATTAACCGCAATACTGTAGTAGCGAACGAATAAAATCATTTCATCACATTGTTTTAATTCACAGTCATTATTGTTAGTATTGTACACATTTATGTATGTAAATACTCACCAATACTTGTCACAATCTGCATGATAATACATCACTGAAAAGGTTATTACTTTAGTACCCGATGGCTTTAATGGGCGCTTGCGGTATCAAACCAAAGATAATTAATGACATACAACCTTGTTGTTAACAACATAATGTTCGTCTGTTCAATAAATGATTTGGGATCATCAAGCTTTATCCACACCACTTACTAAATTCACGTGAGCTTTGTCAGTGTAATCAAAATTTGGCGTAATCTCCCTGAAGTTCGTGAGAATTTCGTTATGACGCGCCATATCAGTCGCTAAAATACATCTTATAATCCCTTCTCGCACTTGCTTGAAATCCTCACTTTTGAAAGACTTGAAAATGTTGCAGTCTTCGTTTTCGAGTATCCTGAATGCCACACTACAATGATGATTTTCTAATGGTGAGATGTCGTTATAGCGAATTGCCAGTTCGGTTTTTGCGTTGATTTGATAAATATTGTTGTAACCGGGATGATCTAGGTCGTGACAGATGCATGATGTTATTAAAATCAGTACTTCTAAATCGCCAATCTTGGATGGTAAATCCACGCTCCAGGATATGGCGTACATCTGAAACATGTTTTTGTTTGCCTTTGTTTGTTTCCTTTGAAGATTCGGTTTTAAAAAATGGCTTTATTCTCTTTACATGTTCAATTTACACGGTTCGGGGATTTTGCCGCAATGGACGAGAATTACTTTGTTTTGAAATGAATCGAAATGGTAAGTATTTAAAACCTGCTTGTTATTGAAATTATCCACCAACAAAGGAATTAATAAAGGAAAACAATTGTACAATAAAGCATAACCATTTCTGCTATTACTAAAGAGAATTTAATGCCAGTACTTTAAAAAAATAAATTTGAGAATAATTGTTTTTAGGTCTTTTCCTCGGGTGCTGTTGATGAGGCATGAAAAATTTTGTGCCCTTCAGTGGCGTAAGAGGAAAGTCAAATTTGGAAACACTTTTTCAAAAACACGTTGTATCATTTTAATTAATTTTTTGAAAAAATTACTCTTCCAGACAACCACGACTTGTGAAGATAAAAGTTGTCAGAATGAGGAGAACAAACTTTTGTAACCAGTGAACGTAAAATATCTGGTATTATTTACATAGTTGTAGATCTAGTGAAAGTCCAATAGATCAGCATATATACCTAGCGTGCTCGTAAATTTGGAAATATTACTGACAAAAAACTAAACAACCTAATTTGACAAACACGCTCGAATAGGTCGATTGTTTAAAACTAAGGTGGCAATGATTTTTTTTTGACTTATATGACATCATCGATATTTTTTTATTTGTCTTTTATTTTTCTCCTACATATTTTGAAAGTAGGTAAAAAAACTACATATAAAATCAATTCAAATTTCTTCGTTTTACTTGCATATTATTGTGTTAAAAATATGAAACTAATAAAAAATAAATAAATATATACATATATTTCGATATTTTAACTATGACATAAATAAATCAGTTGCTAATAACTAATAATGCTAATACGAGTTCAAACCACTGAACCAAAACTGAATTTGAATTTGATTTGATTTTGCATCGATTTAATAATATGTAATTTATTTTAGTCGACAACAGTAATTTTAGACGTTATATTTGAAATATCTATACGACAGTTCTGTCACAGTAAGGACACTAAGCAAAGATGAAAAGAGAGACAGGGGAATTAGATTTTACGTCTGGAATTGCAAGCTCGGGTTAATAGGGTGTGCTGATTGCAGATCTAGTAACTAAGGTTTATAGATTTGTCCGATAACGAGAAAGTGGAAACCAAAAAGTAAAAAATAAAAATAAGCAAGATGTCCGAGCTCAACTCGCATTCACATGACATAAGCATTGATTTTACTTCGAAAAGTCTGTCCCATGGGATGGAAATTTTGAAACCTTGCAGGAGTTTCTTTCACCACCAAAGATATTGTTGGGTGCATAGTCTGTATTGTTAGCTGCTCATACAGCGATAACAATAAGGTTAGTAATGATAACACTGGTCAACAACAAATTGGCAACAAAAGTTCTGTTGGTAAAAATTACAAAGTGTAGATGTATCATTGAAGTTCATAAGTAACATTCTTAAACTTTAGCTCTAGTTTTCGAAATATACAGGGTGTTTCAGCTACAATTCCAGGGCCTTCGGCTTGAAAATATCGAAATTCTGTGAAAGCCATTATTTTTAGCTTGAAGGCAATGTAAAGCTATATTTTTTAAAATTATAATTGTAGCGGACTTTGATAGACGGTTACGATTACAATGATGTTAGCTACTTATTCCAGTTTAAGTTGATAAAAATATAAAGTCTATAAACATAAAAAAAATTGAACTAGAGTGAAGTGAAGTGCCTTTTTTTCAACACGATCTGATTCAAAACCAGTTATTTCAGTTATTTTCAGCGCATGTTCGAACTCTAGTAAAACAGTGGCAGTCCTTTATTTCGCTCAGTTTCATTTTTTTATGTTTATAAATTTAAATTTTTTATCAACTGAAATTGAAATAAATATCTATGTGTTATACATCATTGCAATTAAGTGAAACAAAGGTCAAAGAAGGTGCATCAGTAAAATGTTTAATGCCAATAAATTTCAGAGCCTCTTAAATGTAATTAATAATTTTATATGGCAAAAATTAAATGTATTTTATAATCTTATAATTCACGCAAGGGTCGCAAATACGCCAATTTTTTATGTATCACCGCAAAAATTAATTTAAGCGCGTTAAATCTGGGCTGCGAGCTGGTCATCGAGTGGGATCTTTACTGCCGACCTAATTTTCATCATAAATGTTTTCAAAAATTAAAAAAATTATCTATTTTTTACAGCAATGTTTCGAAATTTCTGACTTTAAAATTAACAGTTATAGTTTAATTGTCTTTACACATCTGTTTCCAATTTTCCATGATGGCAACTAGATGTATATCTTCCTTTAGATAATCTGTATTATTTATCGTTAAAACTAAAGCAAAACATCAAGTGTTTTTACATCATTCTAATGGTAAATTAATGATTTATCAAAATCTGATAAAAACATAGACGATGCAAATTAAAAAAACATAGGTTTGGATCGCGACGTCGAAGTCATATTTCCAGTGCTCTAAACTAGGTTTACCCCATCGATCTCTAAGGAACGGCGTTTACAGAATTTCAAAATTTCTACCCATTCTCAAGATATACTATGGCGAAATTTTATCTGGGTCACTCTGTGTTTTGTATTATCTTTCTAACAAACACTTTAGTTTTTACTTCATAATTATATTTTGACTCGAACTGTAAGCTCTTGCAAATATAGAGGGTACATCTGTTCTGATTAATTTTTTTACACATTAGTTTTAAACCAACTATGCAACTCTTTATGTGTAATACCTGCAAATAAAGTTTAATTAATAACTATATTGTGTGTATATTGATAAAGTTGGCCATAGTATAAATGTGTGGTTATGTAATCACAGAAATATTGCACATTGTTGATTAGTCATTCATTATTTTGTAATTCAGGCCCTGCTGGTGCCAGGCAGCACAATGGCGCGTGTCCCCCCAAAATTACAGCGTCTACAAACACACTGGACATAGCAAAATAATAATTTTCAATATTTAAAAAATTATCCTGAAGTTTATGTCATAATTATTAAAACTAATGTTTTATCTCGCTCCATTTGTATCAAATGTGCATCAAAACTTACATCTAAAGATGTTGTGTCTTCGGTTGGTAACGTCTCGATAAAAGCGAAGGCTAAATCATGACTCATCTAGACGTTTTGTTTACACCGTTGCCATGGAAACAGCGCCTCTAGTCGCTATATTTGGCTAGAATCGGGTCACATTTGAAACAGTGACTCCTAGCAGTAATTAAACTACGGGAGTTCATTTTCATTTTGTGCGAGTGAAATTATTTGATTTAAATAAAAATAATGAATTCAGTTGAATAGTTAATAAAAAATCGTCATCTATGTTACGACGATAAAATTGTAGTGAAAAATTTAGGAAGAGCCACCCTCGATTTCTTAATAAAAAAAGTGCTTATGGCAAAACGAGAGACAGATATTTTAATAGATATAACGCGTATGATAAATTTTTGTAGATGTGCGGTTGTGAAAAAAAATTATACTTAAATTGTTTTGTTTTGTGTGTCTCCTCAGTAAGAAATGAGTTAAAACAAAAGGTATGTGGATTTTTTTACCTTCATTGAATGTATTTTTGTATTATTTCCGTCACACAATTTCGTCTATCAATTTGTAATAAGTAATAATAGCCTAATCTTCATATTTAACCCATCAATCAAATTGTCCTCCCCCATTTGAAAAGGTCACAAGCCGCCACTGTTTTGTTCAGAGTATAGTTTAGTACTAATTTAAACTACAAGTCAGTAAACGGTTTCAGGGTAATGTCCAGAAATGAAGTTAATTTAATTAATGTGTCATTTTAACAAAATTGTAACGTTTTCAGTCAGTTGTTTGTTGTTAAATATAAACCTTAGATATTCATCTCTCTTGACAATTACTGACGAACTTATTAAATTCACTTCATAATGCATTCACAACCTTTTTAGACCGCAGCAAGAAATGGAAATCTAGTCACTTGCTTGGTAATTAACGGTAGTAAGCTATTTAAGGTTATGAATTGTGTCATAAACCGAACTATTGTTGCCAGCTTAAATTTAATATCATCAAGAAACATTATTATTAAACTAATTAATTAAACATTCAGAACTTAATAACTTTACGAAATAATTCTATACTTGAAATTAAATATTATTTTATTCACAATCGGTCAGTAATGTGAAACTTTCAAACTTTTTAAAAGTTTGGAAGTGAGCTATTACATACTTCACTTCAATCTCAAGGGTGGAAAGTGACATATGTCACTTATCTGTCACTTTCCACCCAAGAGCTGAAAGTAACTGTCACTTTCCACCCAAGAGATTGAAATGAATGTCACTTCGACCTTAAAACGTTACGTATGTGTAATTAATGATAGATGGAAATCAGCGATTATAAATAACTATAAGGAGAGCTTATGGTGAAGACTGTCAAGTTATGTCAATTTTTGTATTTTCCAACGCCTGCTGAGTGACTCATATTAAACAGAAATCAAAGTTTTAAATTAGGACATTTTTATTTTATTTTAAAACTACAATTAAAACGATTGTGAATAAAATAGCATACAAACCTCGGCAAAAGTACCATTCCTATGTCTCGAGAACTAGTTCACCTGGAGGCTGCGCCTCTCGGTAAACTATAGTTCTCTCGACAGTAATGGAATACTTTCCGCCTCGGTATGTAATATACTATTTTAGCTGAAAGGAAGGCATGCTGTTGGAAAATTGATGCTAAGTGCAAAAATTTCTGTGGTTAGTCCTAACAGGAGAACATAATTTATATTTTAAATAAAGCAAAATTTGTCGACTTTAATTGACTAAAAGTTGTAAGAATTGGCAAATTGTCCCATAATTTCTTAATATAAGTACATATTGTTAAAAGAAGTATGCATTTATTATCTTTTCCAGACGATAACTCTACTATCTGAAAGAAAATTTTACCTGTTGTACTTTATAAAAAACGACTAATTAAGTTTTAAGTGTTTTATTTCTTATAAATGTAAGAAATATTATTATAATCATCTATTTTTTATTAAATATAGAGATAATAATTGTTAAAATGTGCCACAAATAGTGTTGTATGTTATTTATGCCGGAAATGGGATCATGCCACTCACTCGCATGCAACCCACGACTTACTACGTTTTTAAGAGGCAACGTTACCGTTCTTAATAAATCCTTCTATGAATATACAGGGTGTTTCTTACACATGCGGCATAAATAGTTTTTTGTCCTTGAATGATTTTCGGAATGGCGCCTCATTTCGAAGATAAGGTCCGATAAAAATATAGTAAAATTACGGTTCTTTGTTTTGCTACTCAGGAAACTTCCAGGGAAACGTTTTAAATAAACTTGCAACACTCAAAACAAAATACCTAAAGAACGTGTTTCTTTTAGTAACACCGTTATGTTGTATTAAATCAAGTTGAAAGACGGTTACCTCACGGAAATGCCGCGGTGGTAATTTTTTAGTAGAGCTTAAAGCTTAATAATAATTTTAGCTTAAAAAATGTAAATGAGCGCTATTAAAGTGAAATGCAACAGAGGAGAAGTCCACGGGTCTGGCTTTTATAAAAGTATTCCCTTAAAACATATTTAAAAAGGTTCTGGAGGACCATTCTCTCCACATTCTGCAGCTTTTTGATCATTGTAAACGTGTAAGTGGATTACTTATCTTTTGCACTTTTTCTTTCAAGCGAAAACGAACAAAACCTCAACTCACCATTTGTGCGACACAGAAGCAATGCCTAAAGTTGTGAAACGGCACGTCGTTATAATTCTTGTAGGCTTCGTAGAGGAAGTTTCTAAGCGTATTTATATCTATAGCAAACTTTGAACAGAGATCATAGTCGAGATACATTTGTTGAAGCAGAAGGAGCAGTTCTTCGTCCTCCCAGGGCCGCGCATCGAACGTAGGTGTCCTCAGCCACTGCCGGATCGTATCCGACACTTGAGCCTCACTGAATTACGTCATAACTAAAAATATCAACCTAGGGTTTCAACGAATCCTTACCATATATTCGCGAAGTTCTGCTTGACCCTCTTTTTCACGGAATCGCTCTTTCTCCGGTATTGCAGACGGCGACATTCTTCACTGGAAATCGGTTCCGGAAGCTGCTTGTAGAATCCTGCGGGAAATGGTTAAATTATAAAATGCCGAGAAAATACAGATACACATTTTGAGCGTGGGTTTTTAAAATCCGTACTTCATTTAGATTTCTACTGCAATTAAAATGTATAAGAACATGAGTAAGTAAGAGGAGTTAGGGAAAGAAAATAAGTTAATGGTGTAGGTACTTCGTTTCCTTTGTAAAATAAAGCTGCTTTTTCCGTGGATGCTCTTTAGAATTAAATTGACGGCTTAAGGTTGTGTAACGTTGTCTCGGCAATATTTCGAAGCGCATTCAACTTTTAATGAAGAATGCTGAGAAGTATTATAACTATTTATCCAAGAAAAACGCTTTGTAAACTCCTGTTATGAATCAAAATTGTATTAAACGCCAAGAGCGTGCACTTGATGGTTGACAGAGGCGATATTTCGACAGTTTCATTAATGACGTTACACAGATAAGACGCTATGAACATAAAATAAAAACACGAATAGAATTTTTTCTTATCATTTTGATCTACTTCTACGATTCCTTTGTCTGGAGTATTCGACAACAATTTATTTTGACTGAGTATGACACAAGATCAGAATCTCGTTAGAATTTTGATCTGCAGTATCCAAAGTTTCCCATGGGTTTTACAACAGCTATGACAAAGTAATTAGCACGGATCACGGAACTTCTCTTATTTCGTAAATATGCTAATACCACATTGAGAAGTCATTATAAATATCTAAAAATTACAAATGCAAATAGTAAATCTAATAAAAAGAGAGAAAAAAAAGAGTACAATGGAATAATGACCGCATAGCCCCGAAAACAAGCCACACCCTTTCTTAGAGAAATGGGTCCCGGCTTGTATGTATTTGGATTTTTTGCTATGTTTATGCCTGCGGCTTACATTCAGATCTTAGGAACATGTATTTTTCGGCGTAAGTATGTTAAAATTTACCGTAACCTTAAAATTTAAAAGCGCCTTAGGTATGTCAAACTTAATCTATGCACGTGTTTCTCATTTGTACATTTTTAGAAGTAGGTAGTTGATTATCTACTTTGTAAATAAAATGTGTTTGAGGTAATTTGTTTTGCTTATTTTTGTGGAAAAGGTACCCGTACACCCAAGTAGACATATAATAATCTACTACAATGCGTGTGCTTATCTACCTAGGTATCTAGGAATTTGATTTCAAACTGCACTTTAGTTACAGAGTTTACCTCCTCATTGTAGTCATAAATTACAACCCTTGGACATAAGTGTTTTTGACTCTTTGGAAGCATATTACAACCGAGCAATTGACTCCTGGTTATTAACAAATCCAAGGTTAAGCGTAACTACTTATGAAGCAGCTACATTTGTAGGCGTAGCGCATGAAAAGGCCATAAAGTCCGAACATATTGAAGCTGGTTTCAAAAAATCAGACATTTATCCTTTCGATCAAGGTGCTTTAACCGAAGATGGTTTTTGACGAGCCATGTTTCAGATCGATCAATACCTACTTAATCATCAGAACCTAGATTCTGCAAGTACTACCCCAGACTCTTTGAATGTGGCATTGACGCCCAAGTAACAGTTGTGACGACAGATGAATATTCAACTCCACCGAAGACTACAAATATAATCGTCACCACCGGTAGTCATTTAATAAAAGATTTCCTTATTGTAATCTTCTTGCATAAAGGTTTTCCAATTCCCTGCTGAATGCAAAGTATATCTCGAAAAAATAAAAGCAGAAGAGCAAAAGAGCGTAGTTTATAGCAACAGACACTCCCGAGAAAAATGCATTAATGATATCATTGAAGAAGATAGACAAAGAACAAAAAATAAGAAGAATGTGAAGAATAAAGGTTTTAGCAGAATCAAATTCAGACGAAAGCTGCAGTGATGATGGCATGGTTTTATCAAATATATAATCAGAATATGATGCTGAAACTTATTTAGCGCTTCCCAATGATTATGAAAATACAGATAAAAAACCAGAACCAGGTGATTTTGTTTTGATAGAATTTTGGCAAAAAGAGATGTTTCCTTCATTGAAAAAGTTATCTATCTCTAAACATTTGCGAATTGGGAATGTTTTTGAAATTACCTTTTTACGGAGAAGCGAAAAAGTGAAGGAAAAATATGCTGAAAGACATCGCCGTGGTTGCAGAAGGCGCAATCAAAATGATAAATATTGCCCAAACCACTATGTATAGGGGCAAAATGCCAACAAAATTTATTTTCATTAAAATCAATTTTGCGTCCTCAAACGTGCACTATACATATCTACCTAATTTAGTAATTTACTATTGTATTTTGCTTTTTTCGAAATTAATTCATATACGATATATTGTTACGTTGAACGGGGGAATTAAATCGGCGTAGGTAAAACTCAACAATCTATTTCTTAATAACTCGAATTACAGGACTAACTATTACAGCGATTGTGCACAAACTATTTCCGGCGCAACTGGGCTCTTCTTAACATTCGCTGAACTCGTGGTTCGACTGAATCAATGGTTCCCGACGGTGGCCGCTATTTAAATCCCTGCATTTCTCTAGATGGATCCTGAACGCCGCTTCTAGGTTTTTTCTAGACCCCGCAATCGAGACTTCCGGTAGCCGGCTCCAGACATGTCTTTATGTGAACGCCGCGTTCGCGTTCGATTAGTCATCACCTGCGTACGATCAGAAAGCTCTCGACCGCCATAGGCGTCGTACCGGGGTGGCGTAAGGGTGTATTTCGTAACAATATATATTTAGAATAAAGTAAAGTAAATAACGGTTCTATGAAAATATTAGGTACCCTAAATAAGTTTCCTGCACTGTCTCATCATAGACTCTTATTGTGGTCTACCTTGAGACCGTTCAATACCTTGTAACGTTACAAGGTATTGAATTATATAGTAAAGCTAATTATTTATATTTTTAAATTTATTAGTACCACGAAGTCTAATGAATTCGCAGGAAAAAATAAATTTCTAAATTTCAACAATTCATAACCAGTTTTCTAAACAGAATACGTTTGAAACAAGGATGCATCCTGAATCCTTTCCTGTTTAACCTCATTCAATATGAAGCAATAACTAAAATTAAATATAAACAAAGTATAGTTAGTTTTGGATTTTTAGCAAATTGAATTGAGTAAAATCAAGTTGTAGTGTGCAGATGATGGTACTGACTGCCGAAAATGGAAAATATTTACAATATAGTATCAATGTGAAGAAATGAAAGACATAAACATAAAGATTTGTCAAAAATTCTGAAACGGATCAATTTTAATTTCTAATTACTCTTTTTTTGAGTCTCCTCACTTGTTCAGGATCACACTATTTCTTTTTAATGAAATTCTGTAATTTTACTTTCTGAGCGTAAGTTAAAGAAGTATTGTAATAGTTCCATCCGACAAATGGCTACTTTCATGTTTTTTCGACGTTTCATGACTAGAGTACGAAAAAGTAGATCTCGCGTTTCCGTTCCCATTTCCGTCTATCAGTTGTCTGTCTGGCTGTCTCTCTGTCCGTCTATTCGTCTGTGCGTCTGTCTGACGTTTGTGTCAATTTTTGTAAGACAGATTATCCCCGAAACTAATGGACCGATTGTCGCCAAATTTTATATGTATCTTAGGAAATATCATGTAAATAAATGGTCGCGAACCAAAATTTGTCTTCCCATCTCCACCAAGAACATGATGATGTACTCTCTTCATTTTGCGTAATTAAGGTTATCGATATCTTATGAAATAATATACTCCTACACGCGTGGTTTATGAATCTGCCTTGATTTTTCACAATTATTTTACAAAAATTTATTTGTGCACGTGGTTCATGTAAACGATATCTCGCTTATGTGTCAATTGCACAGTCGAGTGGGATTGATGATTGATTCTCGGACTTGTGCTCTGCCCCGTTTGGGTTCGGAATCCATTCTTACCGAGTGCTTTTTGTGTTTACTGTGTCTATATTTTTACGTACTGAATGTTATCTAAAGAAGTGTTGTAATAGAGTCCATATCAGACGAATCTCTGTTTTCAGGTTTTTTCGACGTTTTATGGTCCCTCGAGTACGAAACAATAGGTGTCCCGTTCCGTCGGTTTGTGGTCTGTCTGTCGTCTGTCTGTCGTCTGTCTGTCGTCTGTCTGTCGTCTGTCTGTCGTCTGTCTGTCGTCTGTCTGTCGTCTGTCTGTCGTTTGTCTGTCGTTTGTCTGTCGTTTGTCTGTCGTTTGTCTGTCTGTCTGTCTGTCTGTCTGTCTGTCTGTCTGTCTGTCAGTCTGTCAGTCTGTCAGTCTGTCTGCCTGACTGTCTGTCTATCTGTCGCCTGGGTCAATTTTTATTAGACAGATAATCTCCGAAACTATTGTATCGATTGTAGTCAAACTTTATATGTACAGTAGCGGCCAAAATAAAATAGGACACTTTTCTTTCCCTAGTGTAACTTTCAAATCGGTACGGACGTTTAAATGTAATTGTTAATGAATATCTATGCAATGTAGGACAGTTCACACAACTACATTTTTTGAAAAAAAATCTTTTCAAGAGGTGTCCTACTTTATTTTGGACGCCACTGTATACAGAAATACCGTGTAGATGGTAAAACGCTAACCAAAAATGGGATGACTCCATCTTTAAAATTTACAGGATTTTATAAAATTGAAATAGTAAATATTACATATTTCTTCTGCATTTGTGGTTTACGATTACAGATTTTTGGAAAAAACATAATCAAAACTGAATAACATTTTATAAATTAACTTTGAAATTATTGTAAAACCAAATGCTCTAAAATCTTGTCAATGTTTTAAGGTGATCTTGGATATAGTAAATAGTTAATCAAAATTTAACTTTTTTATTCCCCTCCCCCCATCGTGACGCCATCTTATAATTTTGCCGAATAAATAATGTTACCTAAATTTTTATAATTATTTTAATATGCTGTGAAATCTTGCAAGCGTTGTAAGATGATCGTAAGCATCTTTAATAAAAATTTATTCAATTATCTCTTCCCAAAAAAGTGATGATCCTCCTACAACTATTATGAATCT